AAAGTACAACTGAATCAATTCATGTCCATGAAACCAACCCTAGAAAGAATACTGAAAGATATGCAAGATAGCAGTAAACATGACCACAATCTCCAGAACAACAGAAAGAAACCACCAGGCTGGACAAAATACTAAATAATGGAGAAAAGCAGGAAACCAACAACAGGAACACAATATGGCAAAGTCAAAGCAGTATATATTAGTGATATCCATAAATGTAAATGGACTCAACTCACCTATCAAAAGAAACAGATTGACAGAATGCATCAACAAATAGGATCAAGGAGTATGTTTTATACAAGAAACACATCTGACTCAAAAAGAAACTCAGATTAAAAGTCACAGCATGAAAATGAGTTTCCATTAACCAGGAACCCAGGAAAGAGCAGGGGTAGCTATTCAGTTTGCAGACAATGTGAAGTTCAAACATAAAATGATTAAAAGAGATATGAAGGCCACTACAAACTTTTACATGTATAACTACAAGAGGAAGAACTAACAATTATAAATATATATGCACCAAATACAGGAGGACCCAACTATGTTAGACAAATTCTAATGGGCATGAAAAGCTAAACACACAAGAACACAATTGTAATAGGAGACCTTAACAACCCACTGTCACAAAGAGATAGATCAACTTAGACAAAAAGTCAGCAAAGAAGTGACCTAACTAAATGATACCTGTGCATGGATTGACTTAGTGGATGTTTACATAGTATTCCACCCAACCATATCAGAACATACATTCTTCTCAGCTGCACATGGGATATTCTACAAAATAGACCATATATTATCCCATAAAACATTTTTAAGTAAATGTAAATGGAACGAAATTTTCTCATGTGTATTACGGGACCATATTGCACTAAAATTGGAAATCAATGGCAAAAATCCCGGAAAAACCTGCATAAATACATGGAAATTAAATAACAATCCTGAACAACCAGTGGATTACAGATGAAATTAAAGAAGAAATAAAACAATGTCTATAATACAATGAAAATGCATAAACAACATACCACAACCTATGGGATACAATAAAAGCAGTCCTAAGTGGGAAATATACAGTAATAAGTAGTCACATCAAGAAAATGGAATGAACACAAGTAAAAAACCTAATGCTATATCTCAAGCTTCTAGAAAAGGAAGAGCAAGTCAAGCCCAAAGTTCATAGAAGAGTGGAAATTATAAAGATTAGAGCAGAACTTAATGAAATTGAAACCAAAATATTTACAAAGAATTAATGAATCAAAGAGCTGTTTTTTTGAGAAAATAAAATTGATAAACCTCAAGCCAAGCTTTTCAAGAAAAAAAAATCCACACAATATGGACTGAAAAGAGAAAAATTACTGTAGATCCCATGGAAATTCAAAACATCATGAACATCTACCTTGAAAATCGCTACTCACATCCGGTGCAAAACAGAGGAAATAGATTTGTAGAAATATGAACTACCAATGCTCAATCAAAATATATAACAATTTTGAGTAACCAAATATCGGCTACATTAATAAAAAATGTGATTAAAAACTTACCAACAATAAAAGCCCAGATCCTGCTGGATTCAGGGATGAATTCCATAAGAATTTCAGAGATCTGACTGCAACACTCCTTAAATTCTTCAATGAAATTAAAAGAGAATTAGTTCTCCCTAACTCATTCTTAGAACCAAGTGTCATTCTGATTACAAAACCAGAGAGAGATCAAACTAAATAGCAGAACTATAGACTAATTTCACTAATGAACAATGATGCAAAGATTCTCGATACAATATAGGCAAATAGAATGCAGCAAATCATCAAGAAGATTATACAACATAACCAAGTAGCATTTATTCCAGGAATGCAGGAATGGTTTAATATGCACAAATCAATGAATGTGATACACCACATCAACAGAGCCAAAAATAAAAAATCGCCTAATCATTGCAATGCATGCAGAAAAAGCTATTGATAACATACAACACCTGTTCATGATAAAAACCCTACAGTAACTCAGAATAGACGCTATGTACCTCAAAGTCTAAAGACCATTTATTACAAACATACAACCAATGTCATACTAAATAGACAAAAACTGAAAGCCTTCACACTAAAAACAGGAACAAGACAATGATGTCCACTACCACTCCGAGTCAATAGAGTTCTGGAAATATTAGCCAGAGCAATCAGACAAGAGGGAGAAATAAAAGGAATAAAAATAGGGAAAGAAGTTAAATTATCATTATTTGCCGACAACATGATACTCTACATAGAAGACCCCAAAATCTCAATTGAAAGACTACTAGAGGCAAAAAACAAATTCAGCAGCATAGCTGGATAGAAAGTCAACACTCACAAATCAATAACATCCCTGTACACAAACAAAACACTCCATGAGAGAAAAATTATGAAATATAAGCTTTCACAATAGCATCTAAAAAAATGAAATACTTAGGAATCAACCTAACTAAAATTGTAAAACACATATATGCAGAAAATTATACAACTCTGAAAATGGCGATTCAAGAGGAAATTGGAAAATGGAAGGATATTTCTTGCTCTTGGTTAGGAAGAGCCAATATTGTGAAAATGGCCATACTTACAAAACTGTTATACATTTCAATGCAATCCCAATCAAAATATCATTAACATACTTCATATCTAGAGAAAATAATTCTGAAATTCATCTGTTAACAGAAGAAATCTAGAATAACAAAAGCATTTCTGGGCAACAACAGAAAGACAAGACTCATCTCAATTCCTGACTTGAAACTATACTACAAAGCCACAATAATAAAATCAGCATGGTACTGGCAAAGAAATAGACCTGAGGATCAATAGAACCGATTAGAAGATGAAAACACTACTACAAAGATACAGAGCCACTTAAATTTGTCAAAGGGGCTAAAAATGTTCACTGGAAAAGGATAGCCTCTTTAAAAAATGGTGTTAGAAAAATTGACATTACATGCTAAAGACTGAAACTAGACCCATACCTATCACCATACACTAAACTAAAGTCAAAGTGGTTCAAGTATCTGAATATTGAAAAAGAAACAAAAATCTACTGGAAGATATGGTAGATAGAAATTTTGGAGACATAGGAATAGGCAGAGAATTCATTAATAAAACACAACCACATGGAAAATACTTCAAAGAATCAACAACTGGGATCTCATATTACTAAAAAATTTTTGTACGTAAACAGAAATCAAATAAAGTCAAAAAACCCTCACAGAGTCAGAAAGAATCTGGATAGATGACAAAGGACTTGTATGCAGAACATATAAAAAATTGAAAAATGTCAAGCCCTCAAATTCAAAGATCGTTTCCAAAAATGGGCATCAGAGGTAAGTACACAGTTCTCAGATGAAGATATACAAATGGCAAATGAATGCATAAAGAAATGTTCACCATCATTGGTGATTTAATAAATGCAAATTAAGACAGCACTAAGATTTCATCTTACTCTGGAAAGAATGACTGACATCAAGAAATAATCTGAAACAAATTTTGGCAGCATGAAAGGAAAAAGGAACACTTGTCCTCTGTTGGTGGGAATGCAGACTGATAAAAGCACTGTGCAAATTAGTGTGGAAATTCCTCAAAAAACTTAAGATTGGATGTTCCATTCAATCCAGCTATTCCCCTTCTGGGTATTTTCCCAGAAATTTGAAAAAAAAATTTCACAGTGATATATGTGCAATGATATGTGCAACACAGTTGTGATAGCTAAATCTTGGAAACAACAAAATGCTGTCAACCACAAGTGGATGAAAAAATTGTATTTTTTCACAATGGAATACTACTCAGCTATAGAAAAGGATGATTTGAGGCCTTTATAAGTAAATGAAAGTAACTTAAGAATATCCTCTCTCATTGTGTCTCTAGTGTAAAAAATAATAAAAAACTGACAAAGAATTGGGATCCAAAAAAGTATAGTATATATTGTAAAAGCAAAAGCAAAGAAATGGGCTCTAAATGATATAATGATATGTATAGTATGAAAGATAGATGACCATATTACTAAATTTCTGTTAGATCACTGAAAGGAAGGGTTTGCCCATCAATGTTTCAGTATTTAGTGACTTTTTATGCTTTGTTTTGTAACTTTAACAACTGTTTTTAAGATGAGAATATGTAATGTATCAACTAGTAATTTTAGGAGTTAATTTTTTTGAATTCTATATTCTACACTTCTTTGTTTTTTTGTATTTTGTTTCTTTTAATTTTATTTTCTATCTTTAAATTTAAAAAAAATTTAAAAGAAATGGACATGGAGTTTTGTGTCCTTGATGCCTTGCAACAGGACCTACTCATGCAGTGGTGGGAATCCTTGGGATCCACCTGGCTCTGGGTGGCCATAAGCTGCACTGTGGCATGATTAGTGGTATTATTCTTTACATTTATTGTTGTCATGCTCTTTGTGTGCATGAGTCCACCCTATAGGTCACTTACAATAAACACATTTTCCCTGATATTTGAGGTGGTGGAATGTGAGAAACCACTGCACACTGCTTCAACACCAAAAGGTATGAGGACCTATGGGATCTGACCCAACCGATTAGCATGTGCACACCATGGACATAGTTATATAAGCATGACTTAACATAGACAGCCATGGATGTGCTCAGGCTTGTGACACTATGCAAGAATGTAATGCTTGATGGCAGCTGATATATACAGGCTGGATAATATAGACGCTTGTTTACTGCTGTTGCTAATGTTGGCTCCATGTGGTTTCTTCTCTCTGGGGATCTTACCCACTAAAATACCAATTCACCTTCCCTATCTCTGAGAAAATTTCATGCTGCAGACACAGGGCACTTTAATGCCCCACAAAACTAAAGTCTCTGTGCCTTGTTCTAAGCCATGCATCATATCCTAAAGCCAAAATCTCTGTTGGGGTACAGCTTTAGAAAGGACAACAAGTTATATACCTGTGCCATGGTGATCACTTCCTAATCCCTGTGATGGACATTTTCCCCACTTCCATTCCTCTTCTGTACCCCACAGGGCATGAAAGGTCTCAAATGTTCTGACGTGGACCTGGAACGCAGCTCCCCAAGCAGCAGACATGTAGTTCTTGAACAGACTGCCTGGACGATGGTCTGAGGTGAGTCAGTCCCAGGCTGGAGGCTGAGGACAATAGTTTCTGTTGGCCCCACTCTCACAGAGTGGAGCTACTTAGCAGCATATCTTAGCCTCCCTTGATCCCTGAACCCATGGGGACTCACTTTTCCTATGTGTCATGATGTGTTAAAACCAGGCACAGCACTAATGCTGGCAGGGAGATCCCTTCCCCAGCACAAACCCTGCTGAACATGACTCCCTCCGAGTATTCTTCAAGCCATGTTCTTAACATGTGGCATCATGTTGTAGTTGAATGCCATGAGGGAGAGCACAAATCAAGGGCAGGAGCAGGTGCTATGGTGCCCATAGATTTGGGCAGCCCTTCTCTGATGTGTGTGGACCCCAGTGTCTTTCAAGATATTGGGATGGCACTCTTGAATGAGCTATGGAGATCCATGCCTGAGGGTGTTGGGTCAGGGAGGCATTTGGACCCTGGCTGTGTCAAGTAGCCACGTTGAGCAACACAGAGTGTATACCACTACCACATGCCCAGGACATCCTCTCACACTGTCTTTGTCATTCTGCTACAAACCTTTGTCTACACAAGGCCCCCACTGCCCACTCCAATCTTCCCTGGACCTTTGAATGGAATCACAGGAGGAGGCAGTGTATGTGTTGCTGCCCAAAGTCAAGTGTCACTGTTGTCTGCTGGTGGGTGAAGGTATGGTGGGTGGAGGCTGGGGATTTAGCTCAGCAGCATAAGCGCCTGCCTTGCAAGTGTGTGGTCCTGAGTTCGATACCTGGTACTGATAAACAAATGAAAAAAAAAAGGTATGGTAGGTAACAAAATCAGGTGTCCCTCAATGAGTAACTCAGGGCCTTTTTCTACTGTTATTCCATCTTCCATTCCCTCATTCCTCAGGCACCCCTCCTTCCTCCTGCTATATTCCATTCTCCTCCTAAAAGTACAAAGCTGGCTGGCCTAGGGAGGGGCTGTTTTGTGCCCCTCTCATCCCATTCTGTCTGAGAGAGAATCCTGTTCCCACAAGTATGGCTGATTGTTTATCACATAGGACAAACTGGGTCCAGCCTGTGTTGCACTTGGTCCAGGGCTTATGACTGAAGAGCCCCTAATTTTAGCTCCCAGCTCTAGAAGTTCTGCTCAGAACATGGTGCTCAGAATTGAGGTCTCAAGGTCAGTCTGGAAATCCCTATCTGTGGAGCATCTAAGGAGCTGACTTAATCTGTGGTTTACCATGTGATGCATGAATATCTGGATACGTGGGGAGACAAATGCAGATGCTTCTGTCTGGCACAACCCAAGTAGAAACAGTAACTTTGAAATGGCTCCTGTGAGATGGGTAGAATTGGATCTGGCTAGGGAACAAAGGCTATGTGCACCAAAAATAGAAGCAGGGCCCTGAGATCTGGACCACACATTGGAAGGAAGGGAAATAAGGGTGTCCCAGCACAACAGTGTCTGGGGATAAATTCTTCCCAACTGTTACCATCCATCTCTGTTCTGTCCCAAACCAAATGACTGTGTTATAAAGGCATGACAGTGTCATCACCCTGCTATTTGTATGTCTATGGGTCCTTCAAGAGTGGAGAGTACCTGGAAAGGAGTTGGCCCAAGCCTCACCTGTGCATAATATGCCTCTGTATCAGTGACTGACCCTCAGGTAAGATGGTCATGGCCACTGTCATCTCTTTTTTCTGTCTGGCCATCTAGTTGCCAGGCACCACTGTGTTCCCACTTTCCTGCCTATTGGCTCCAGAAGCAAACACCTAGTTTTCTGGTCTTGGTGTCGGTGAGGATTTAGCCTAGTGTGGTGTGTTGGGGCAGGAATCAGTGTGATCAGCAATGGGGCAGCTGAGTTTTGAGTGGCCACAGAGTGGGGCAAGAACCTAATATATTTCCTCTCCCTCCACAGTGATATGGGGCCTTTGTGTATAAAGCATGGTTCATTCCAGTTAGCTGTCACTTTTTACTACATCTTTCTATCTCAAGACCATTTACTGGAAAGCTGTGTGTATGTGACACAGTATGTCACATATAAAACTATGCTGATAAAACTATGTTGAAGGCCCTGCTGAGCATTTCCACCCAGACTGCCGGGCAGCAGCTCAGCCTTCAAAATGTAGTGAGAGAGGCAAGGGAGGAAGGTGGAGGAAGACAAGAGTCTTTCTCCAAGACAGCTGTACAGAGGGGCCAGGGCACCTCCAGCTGTCACTGTTAGACCCACTTCTGAGCCTGCATCCTGAGTCCAGAGAGGAGACAGCAGTTTTGATCACTTTGATAGAAATTAGGGGTCTAAGCAGAGTTACAAATACAGAACTTAGGAGCCAGACTGAGTGTTCCTGATTTGCCTGTGTTTGGTTTTCACCTTCTTTCCGTGACTTTGTCATCAGCAGCTATTGGCAGTGTGAGTTTCATTGTCTCCCCAAGTGTGATCTGCATCTGGAGAGCTCTGGTACCCAGCACACAGTGAGTCCTCTATGTGTCTCTATTAGGTTGTGCATAGAGAAAAGTATAAAAGTGCATGTTCCTATGATAGGAGGATTAGCCACAAAAATTCCATTAGCAAGGACGTAGACTGAGGACAGCAGATGCTTTGTTCTACAGATTTGCATTTGCACAAAGGAAACATTGCTGGCCAAGGAGAGCGTGTATTTCCTGTGTGAGATTTTTCATTAGTAGCTCTTTTTTCCCCCACATGTCAGAAGTGGATTTTCTTGCTTTGTGTTTTGTTTACAGATAACTGTATATTTTTTCTTACTACATATTTACAGTGTATACTGATTATGTTGGTGTTAGGACCAGGGCACATGTGGTGCACAGAGTGCATATTGGGCCCTATATTTTGCACAGTGGTACAATCCAACCACCAGTGACTGCTCTTAATGTTTTGTGCATTCAGCACACAGCTCAGGGCCAAGATATTGCCAGCATAAGGCACTGCTTTGTCTTGATTGTCCTTTCTTTATGACAAATACAGTGGATAATGATGCAATAATTGGGAGCTTAGTCCAACCCTAACCCTAAGTCTAACCTACCTCTAAACCTAACTCTAACCCAAGATAGTCACTACCAACATTCCTGGCCAAAGAAAACTTTATGGCATTGATGTGGGAAATGCAATATAGGTTAAATATGAAGACATACAATCAGTGGTGGCTGGGATGGGGCAAGAGGGGAAAGAAAAGAAAACACCATTGTGTAAATATTTGAAGAATATATTCTGGAAGTGGACTTGGGGAAATTTGCTCAACATTGAGAATGCAATGAATGTCAGCAAGCTGATTATTTTAAACAACCCTAAAATCTTAAATTTTACCTATATTTGTTCTATCACTAATGTATCTCTGGTAAATAAGTGTAGCTGTGAAAACAATAGTAAGTAAATCCGGAAGAGAGGGGAATGGCAGGTGTGGGTCAAGAGCTGCCTGCAGTTAGAGCTTGACAGATGACTCCTGAGTGCAGCCATCAGGAGGCTCAGAACTTCAGCTGCTGGACAAAGGAGTCCAGGTTTTGGCTCTTGCTCTGGGATCACAGCTGATTAGAGAGCTGCAGGTAGAGCTGGCACAAGGTCTGCAGGTGCAATTTCTGCATGGCATGAGCCTGGCCCTGTAGTTGCAGGAAATGAAAAGATTGCCAACTTTCCATGGACTTCCTGGGCAAAACCTTCCCACTGCCTGTCAGAGGCAGCCTTGTGCACCAACACAGTCCAAGGAAAGCCTCCTGACTGCATCCCCACACCGACTGCTGAGTGTGTCATACTCCTGGGTCACCCAGCAGGGTACTTTGCTGAGTTCCAAGGCCATCACCTCCCCACAACCCTACATCCTACACTCCAGGGATAGTTACCCTGTGGCTCAGTCTCTGGGGCTCCAGCTAGTCCAGGAGAAGCTCAGCCTGGGGATCCAGATGGGCATATACTTCCAATGTGGCCTCAAGCACAGAAAAGAACTGGGGCAGACACGGAACCAGCAGAGTGAGAGACCTGGGCTTTACTCCCACAATGCCTCTACATCTCACTTGTAGAGAGGGGTCATGGAACCCTGCCCATTTGATACAATGTCCAGCCCCATCCTCACCCACCCACAATTGGATAGTGAGGGCCCAAGGGGCCCTTAATGGCTGAAAGAAGTCTCATTGGGAGAGAGACCTTGCTTAGCTTTATCATATATCTACATTCTTCAGGGAATCCTGCCACAGTATCTCCCTGCCCCTCCCCAGTGAAAGTCAGCTTGGAGAAGGTAGAGACTGCAATCTGCCCTGTCTTTGCACTCAAAGGCTCAGGGCTGCCACTCCATGAATATCTGAGAAGTGAAGGATCAATCAGTGTCTGTCCTGCATCTCTGCAGTCTCTAGCTCAGGCAGTGATGCATTGCCCAGTTCTCTTTGCCCCTGTATAACTCCTTGTGCATGGTTTGTACACACAACTAGGGAGGCCTGGAGACTGGAACAATGGCTTTGAGGTGAGCAATGTCTGTTCTGCTGCCAAGGGTTACTCTGTGGCCTCCCACAAACATCAAAACTCAAAAGGGCAGTGGTTCCACTGACTCTGCTTACAGAATCTTGGTTAATATCCAGAAACATGCTTGCACACAGTGTGTCTTCATATATGATTATGGGATGGTAACACCTATCTGCTCTTCCTATCTGTCTGACAGCCATGGACAATTTGCCATTCTCAAGATTTCCTGTCACGGTGTGACTCTCTGATCTCCTTTCTGATGAACAGAACTGCATCCACCAAGTGTTGGTCACTGGGTGGGATGGAAGATCATCCATCAGAATTACCACAGCCTCTACAGCAGGTCTTCATGGGGCCAAGGCCACAGCTAACTGCTTGGCATAGAGCCCCCATTTCATCCTCAGTGACCCTAAGCTCTCAATCCACTCATTCCCGACCTGTTTGGCACTGTAAACTAGGGTTGAATGAGGCCCTTGCATAGGGCCAGGACCTGAATCCACAGGTGACCAATTCCCACTGGGCTGCTTAGGTAAGAACTCCCCTTCTCAGCTTTGATGCCTAT